GGATGGGGCCCTTTTCGCTGTGCACTGGGTTGCCGGCGTCGTCAACCAGTAGTTTCCGCTTGGTCTTGGCGCCATCGCTCTCGAGGGAGTGCGTCTCTCTATCTGCCGTCTCCATGACCTGTAAATGGCCAGTCATCTCTACTTTGAGAGTTTTCTGTCCCGAGTCGAGGGCGATGTTATTGCCAGAATCATCAATAACAGTTATAGGAGAGTCATTCAAGTCTATCAGGGTTATAGAGTTCCCTTCTTCATCAACTAGTATGTTTGTAGCTTCGGATATTTTCTTGTGCTCGCCAACCTTTTTCATGGTTAGAAGCTTTCCTTTGTCGTCAGCCAAAAGATAATCTCTCTCATCAACAACATTTACTTCAGACGATGATCGTCGAACTCGAGCAGTGTTGGTGCCATCCACAGCAAGCTGAACCTCACCTGCCATCGTGACGACCACCTCTTCGTTATCGAGCAATGTTACAGGTGTTCCTTCTAATGATGAGAGTGTTACCGTATTGCCTTCGCCATTGATAAGGACATTCACCACAATTTTCTGTGCTTTCTTCCTTTCTGTCATTATCCTCAAATTCTTCCCATTTAAGTCTGTCAGGATACTACCGGAAGAATCCACCAACACTTCTGTGTCATCGACCATATCCATTATCATGGCGCTCTCGGTATTTTTCACTATTTGAACATCTCCATCTTTCACGTGTATGTCGTTACCCTGTCTATCAACAATGGTAATAGGAGAACCTCTCACACTCAGTAACTGCACAGTGTTGTTGGTTCCGTCTACAATTATGTTGGTTACTTGTGATGAAACGATTTCACTTGTAGGGACAAATAAAAGAGCATTTCCTTCACTGTCGACAATAAAGTTCCCATTTTCATCTATAAGCCGTTTTCCTTCATTAGTTTCAACAATAAAAGCTGCTGCAGTCCCCGTTTCCATTATGATTTCTCCAGCTACAGGCTTCACGATGTTACCCTTTCCATCATCCAATGTTACTGGAACCCCGTGGACGTCAGTTAGAGTCACTGTATTTTCATGAGAATCTATGATCCCGTGGCCTTCACTGGCTATAGAGCGTCTCCGCCTAGATCTATGTTCAGGTACAAGAGTAACTGGCAAGCCATTTTCATCGACCACTAGCTCTCCCGATGCTTTTAGAACCATCATACCGTTTTCAAGTAGAGCGGTTACGTTGATATCCTCTATCGTTATATTTTTATTTCCAGTTTTAACGGTAACTACATTATCACTATCGTCGATAACAGTGACTGGAGAGCCATTTATGCTCAACAAGTTTACGGTGTTGCTATCTCCATCTACCAAGACGTTTGTGGAAACCTCTGAGAAGTGTCGCGTGTTCACGGAGGTTGCCTTCAACAGCATTCCGTCTTCATCTGCTAAGGCTTCGCCATTCTGCAAGAGAAGGTCTTCCCCTGATGCCCTCTTCATAATAGAAACCGTTTCCGGAGATACCTCCAAATCTGAGCCTCCTCCATTTAGTGCAAGTTCATTGCCATTAGAATCAGAAACATGCACAGGTGTACCGTCACTTGCTACTAAATTAATTGGTTTATACTTTCCATCGACAATACTATAGACAGTTGGCAATGGTTGTGTCTCACTTGCTGGCTTAACAGTTAATGGCGAACCAAATTTGTCCAACAGAATTCTGCCATTATCATCCCGGACCACGGGTCTACCCTCAACGAACTCTACTGTAGCCAATGTGGAGTCACCGATATTTAGAATGTGGTCACCGGCTACTACATCGATTTTGTTGCCTGATATATCTACTATATCTACGTCGACATGAGAGGCATCAACTAAGGTCACCGTTATATCGCTTCCATCAACGACAGCGTTTGCCGAAGACCGCGATCGTCTTCGTCGTCGAGAGTAGGACGAATTTTCTTCCGGAGAAGCCTCATCGGAGGTTTCAGCAGTTTTTGATACTACCAGCACGCCACTGCCGTCTTCTATCTTTGTAGGGTTACCAGCACTATCAACAATGATATGGTTAATTTTAGTTTTTTGGCTCGTAACCGTCATTGGTAAAGCATGTACGCCAAGCATGTCAGAAGCAGTGATTTCTGGAACATCGGCCACAAAGGACACGTCGTCAGCGTTCTGGAGGTGCAAGGGACCGTCACCATCCACGAGTGTTACCGGCTTGCCATCACCCTTCACCAGTACCCTAATGGGGTCCCTGTCTGGGGCGCTCGACGGTGGATGGTGTGACTGCACTTCTAGGTATGGAACTGTGGTAGGGGTGACCACTCCCAAGACAGCGCCTTTACTTGTGTCATGTCCAGCTAGTACTCTCAAGCCATTGTCGTTTATAATTATAGTGGGACCCCTTTCCTTCTGCACTAATATCAACGGCTTATCATTATTTATAACAACACTTCCATACCTGTCTTTTACAATGCTTATTGAGTCAACAGGTGATAACAGGACGTTGCTAGATACTCTGTCACTTTCAGCTATAACTGCTCTCTTTATCTTCTTTGATGATACGCTATCACTGTTTGCAGTTTTATCCGCCACTGGCAGAGACGTTATATTCTGAGAGTTTACGAAGTTCACAGTCCCTGTCGCAAAGATTGTCACAGCATCTCCTTCCACTAGTGTTACGGGATTGCCACTGCCATCAACAACGACACTAACAGGGTTTCCGCCCTCTGTCAAGATTACACTGGAGACCTTGGATGCCCCGAGGTCATCGTTTTCACTCTGGTCTGGAAGCGACCCGCGGTACCGTTTGACAACGGTTTTGCAAATGTTGGTTTTCAAACAGGTATCGTAGCAGCATTTATCAGACGAGGCGCAAACTCCGTCGTTGTTACACTTCTGTAATAAATGGAAGACTAGTTGAGATACTGGTTTAAAGGATAGAATATGCAGCCTATAGTGTAAGAAATGAACTTCAGTATTAATAAAGAAAAATATTTTTAATAGTAAATGTACGCTTCTTCTAACATTAAACATTAAAAATACAATAAGCGCCTGGAGACAAAGCTATTTCATTGTCATTTTTTGCCAAATTGACCTCACGGTACCTATGGCCAATAGCTTTCTCAACCTCAATGTTAATGCGTAGGGCGTATATCACGCATGTATGGTTGGTTGCTGGGGGTGGGGAAAGGATTATGGTATAAGTGGTAGTGTAATTTTGTGAAGGTGCTGCTTAGATATTTTTGTTTGCAAGCTTGTGCATGATTGTGTGTGCTTGTCTTCGTGTCTTCAGGTCCATGTTTATCCGTTTATGTGAGTTGTTATACCAAGTATACATGTGTAACTGAAGAGGAGCACGTGTAACTGCATTGACCTGTTCGACCTTCTCAGAATGTGTCGGGGTCCCAATACTGCCGTATAGTACTCAAGCGATGGGCGTGCAAGCGTGTTGTAAGCGGTGTGTTATATGTTGGTGTACAGTTGTGTAGGTTTCTCCTCAGGAACCCCAGAGTTCTGTTTGCTTTGCTCGTGATAAAGTCGATGCGAGTGTTAAAGGGGAGATTGCTAGAGAGGTGCACTCCAAGGTAATAGTGTATGTCATCTGGTGAAACTTGCATTTATCTGATCTAAAGGTCATTTGCCATGACCTTTCCCGCTACTCAAGGGCTTCTGTCATGTTTGAGGAGTCTGCAGTCGTATTCAGCGTTAACTGGTCCAAATAAAAGACGTCAGCAAAAGGCTTGCAGAAGAGTTAGGCGTCTTTCAAGGCTCTAATTGTCAAAGGATCTTTTTTGGGGATTGTTTGACATTATTTCTGCCTACCTCGCAAACAGATTAGTAAGGTTTTAGATTTTTTTGAAGGATTTGAAAGCGGTCTTTTTTTTTAGTAGTAGGTTTGCGCGCGTCTGTATAGTCGTGTTTTACGGTGTTGTCTACGTAGGTCCCTAGAGAACCAGGGAAGTGCGAGTCTGTTTGAAGGTTTTCTGTGGTATGTGTTTTTCCATAGGTGTGAGTATGGGGTGTTTAAGGCTATTCCAGTTCTGTGGGGATCTGTATAGTAGTCCATACTGTAGTTGGGGATGTCCTGTGTGATTGTGTCTAATGTCTGGAAATGAGGGAAATAGGTCTGCGTCTGTCTTTGTCTAGTTGGCCTGAGATCTGCGGCAACAAGATAATGTCCTGGAATAACCATGGTGCTTGTTGTGTCGAGAACGTTGTTTGAGGAATAGGTCTAGAATGTGTGGAGTGGTGTGAGGGTCACCGGCGCCAACGGGATGGATTGTTTTGTGTTCGTGTTAGAGTAAGTACTGTTTGCGAGAGTGAATAAGAACATATAATGTCAAAGAAAGAGTCGTTTGTGATTGGAATAATGCCGCAAGATCGGTGTGTGTGTGGGGGGGGGAGGGGTCATGGGGGAACAGAACAGTTCAGTCTAAGTCGGGGAGATTAAAGTCGCCCGCGATCCGTAAGCTTCTGTGTAATTATTGTGCGTTAGTAGACGGTCCGTAAAAGAACAGCAAGGAGGAGTAACTTACGCAGTCAGATTAGGAACTAAATCCAGGCGATTTCACAATGTGTCAAGGTCTGGCCTCGGTTTGACAACTAGACCTGGTTTGGCGATGAGGATACCTCCATCTATGCCAGCGTCGGTCGAGTGGTCTTTTCGTGAGAGTCGGTAAGGGCCAGAGTTAACATTAGCGCCGCTATCACCACAAAGGAGCAACAGAAGTAGGATGGTGTGTCTGGAGAGTATCTTTTGTTGTGGTGTGTGCTGGGGTGCCGCTGGGCTGTGAGGGAAAGGACCGAGTCGGTGTTTGTTTGTGACGCAAGTGGTGGTGTTGACTTCGGACTGTCTGCGTGTGTCTGAGGATTTGTTCATCAAGTGTGAGTACAAGGATTGTTAATGTAAGTATAAGAAAGGTCTGTACGTGGCATCTATTCTTATTTTCATTTACCTTTCTTGGGCGCGAAAGTGTTACATGTGTTGTCGGCCTTGGGCGAACTGTCAAGTGGCCCGGGCATCAAAATCAGGCGGCAGAATACAGACAAACTGACACACTGGCAGCAAGAGGTACATGCAAAAACAAACAAACCCACCCACACACACAAAGTGACAAGCAAAAAAGGGGTCAGATATAAAGACCGACAAGAGAAACTGAAAATAGACACACGCGCACATTCAAAACTATCATTTTCTTATACCAAGGAAACGTAGTAACACCTACCACCGGCTCAGCATAGTGCCCAGCCCGCGGGCAGAAAGACCGATCTGTGGGGCAATTGTCGATACTCAGTATTTCTGGAAAAAGGGCCTCGATTATAAAAAAAACATTCAGCTCTTTGGAGATTTTATACAAAATACAATTTAATATCGCTGCAACGCTGCTATGTTCTCCCGTTTTGAATCTAGTTATGTTCCTGTCCCGCATGAATAAATATAACAAGGAATCCAGTGAACTTACCCTCTTTAGTGGGGCGATGTTCAATGTTGTTTGAATCCTCTCCCTGGAATACTTTTGCCATCCTGCAGCAGTAGGGCCTCACTTCGGGACCGTAGAGGGACTCGCAATAGTGAATGCACGAATATCTGGAATTCACAGACAATTATCACGAAATTGTTTTTACGTGCAGGTTAAACGTTCAGTAATCCAACAGGTGTTGCAGGTGTTACTTTTTTAAGATTTTTTTTCATTTAAACTCAAAAAGCTCATTAGAAATGGGCTGCGAGGAATCCAATAAATTTCTCCAGAATTTAAACAATCATGATGAAAAGTTCTATATATCGGCCGTCTTATTTTGTACTTACTCATAGTTTGGAAGTGGTGTGGCCCTGGCTACGCAAACCGCTGCCGCCGCTAGCATTAACTGCAAAGGGTTTTAAAATTAATAATCGGTAATTATATTCACATACTCTTATACTACTTTGGCATTCCATCATCTGCAAACATGTAATACCTGGAAGGCATATTCTGTATGACAGAACTTCAATGCCATTGCGAGATATTTATTCTTAGTATTTATAACGAGAACTAAGCACCATCAGAAGTTTTGTATAAATTATACACAATTCATACGAATACAACTTCTGTCAGTGCTTAGTGTACATACACACGTGTACGTACATCTGTATTATGTGGAATATTTGAACACTACATTATGTATATTTTGTACAACAAAATCACGCTAGTTTTGCTGCCCAGCTTGTTGGATATGAAAGATCTTTAAAACCACAGTTTACTTTCTTGTGGAATTTTGATATTCACTAACGGGGGAAATACTTAAATTATGTAAATTAAGATCGGGGAAAGCACCAGAACCGCTGATCGCAGCTTCAGCCTACTCGCCGCTCCCGAGTTTCAGCAATATTGCCGTGCATACCAAGGTAAGACAATGTTGACAACCATCAGGCATTTGGGCATTGCCACATCGCAGCAATACTGTTGGATAAATTTTGTGGCATGGAGTTGGGGACTAAACATTTACCAAGAGAAGTTTCAGATTCCACATCAGAAACTTGTTAGTATTACAGATTATGGAATATTCGAATCGTTCAAGGATTAGTTTATACTTTTATGAAACAACTTCTTAATTTTATGGTCTACCTTAATAAGAAACGATTCAATCCGTCCAGCAAATCAGAGCGCAATACTTTGTACTACATTTCACGAACATCGGAGTTAAGGATTTATCTATTCATTAATCACAAATCGTTTCTTAGGTTTCTTTATGTAGACTGATAGAAGATGAATAAATTGTTTTTATGTAATGAATTCATGTTTACTCTGTAAAATATAAAGTAAATAATTAGCGCCATGTATGGTCAGATTTTCACACGTGCGAGTTATGTTTTATTCGGTGGCTTGAATATCTTCATCTTATACCACTAGAACTCAAAAATATTAAAGGAAAAGCGGGGTTTCTTGATTTGTTGATATATCACAGGCACTAACTGAAGTAAATACACTTTATCACTAGAATTAATTGTACAAGATTCTGACTCAATACTAACGGAGCATACTCGCTATGGATACGAAAATGCCAAACTTCAAGCAATACTTCTACTTTCCATATGAAGAAAAATGGATGAAACAAGAGAAAAATGTTTTGTTGAATCTAAGCATTTGAAAGTTTCCACAGCCTTGCAAAGCGAGGCGTGGTGTGTACAATGTAACTCGCACAGTAGTCCGGCACTTTTTTTCCCATTTGAAGCTTTCTTAATCATGCAAGCGTATTAAGTACTATAATGGTCTTCTGCTGATCTTTTATGAAATAAATTCTTTCAAAACTGCATATCAGGACAAGCTTCCATGATACTGTTTTGTATTGACCACGTCATCACACTATCAGTTTTAGGGTTTTTTGGACTGCTGCAAAAAAAAAAAAAAAAATCCTGGAATAGCGTCGCATAACCGATCGTGACGAATTTGGATTTCTCTCACCCTCTAGTACATAGATGAAGGAATTATGACGTGGACTCCCCCCCCCCCCAAAAAAAAAAAAAAAAAAAAAAAAAAGTTCTTGAATCCGATAGCAGCGGAGGGCATGAGAGTAAAATAATAATAAACACACAATCAATCACTATATTTCTTATGCAGAGGCTGTTCCCCCTGCGGCCCCCCATCTGGTGGGCTGCTACCCCCAACCCCCGCCCATGAGAACAGACTCCTCCACGTATTCAAGGCAGGAGAGCGCACGGCCGACATGCTGAAGCGCCCGACGCAGAGTTTGTTCGACGCTCTATCCTGCCGTGAATTCGTGGAGGATTTTGTTTTCCTAGGCGGGGGTTGGGGGCCAGGGTGCATTCTGTGCAAAGCTCACGCCGGAGGTACGCCAATAGCTCATCGAGTGTACGCCAACGTTCCCGATAAGAGTAATTTTTCATAAGTATGACGCCAAGTTATAGCCAAGTAGATTGTTGATGGCAGCACACTTTTTAATAAGAATCGTGATTTTTCCCCCAGCCTCGTGATTCTTAAAAAAATGGGATTTTGAGCCTCAGATGTTTGTTAAATGATTCTTAATTTTACTACTTAAAAAAAAAAAAAACATTCATGTGACAAAAGTAATTTGTCCTTGTCATTCAAACCATCTCAGCATGTTATAACAGAGGCCCTTCCTGAATTGAAGGTGCAATCACATCGTCTAAAGAACTCCAAGACACGGCGGCACTTTTGAAACTATGGAAATGATAAAAAAAAAAAACCGCAAGGAGTGTGGGGTGGGAGGGCGCGTGCGTTGTAAAAGAAATAAAATAAACGACTATGTACAAATGCATTGCGTTCAACTTAAAAGCTTGAAAAAGCAGTGAAGATAAAAACGCATGCGCCGAGATTTTTCCATTTCATCATGCCAATACGCCAAGGAATATAATTTAGACTAACTCCACGCCGGAGATCTTCGGGCATAAGTGCACGAAATGTACTCTGGGTTGGGGGTCGGCAGCTCCCAGGAGGAGGATAGCAAGGATACACCATCAGTGAAGATAAAAACGCATTGCGCCGAGATTTTTCCATTTCATCATGCCAATACGCCAAGGAATATAATTTAGACTAACTCCACGCCGGAGATCTTCGGGCATAAGTGCACGAAATGTACTCTGGGTTGGGGGTCGGCAGCTCCCAGGAGGAGGATAGCAAGGATCACAACCCCCTGCACTAGACAATACAGCGTCTGTTTGTGTACATTATTCACATTTTACCCCGCAATTTCCCCGGTACCTTTCATGCCCTCCCGTGCTATCGGGCCAAGAATGTGGGGGTTGGGGGGGGGGGGGGTCCGCGGCACAATTCCTACATGTGTGTGTACTAGAGGGTGAGAGGAATCCATCGAATCCAAAATCGTCCCGACCGGTTATGCGACGCTATTCCAGAAAGTTACCGAAGACATGAAATTATAGATTTCGAAAAGGCGGTGAATACGAAGCTGACGAGTAATATCCATAACGCTGTAACCCTCAGCACGTGTAAGACATGTTTTAGGTTCGCAGTTTGAAACAATTGTTGAGTGGTTCGAATCGTACGAACAAGCAGCCACATTCCCACATCAGCAGTTGCTTTAAGGTTTATGGTAGACATTGGACCGCCTGTGCACTAATCTCTTATTTATTTACTTATACTTAGCCGTGTTTACATTAAAGATGCGTTTCTAATATTTATTTGCTCTGTCATTTGCATATATTTTCTTATAAAAGATGCCTAGTTTAAATTTAAACGTTACCCAGAGCCACTCCTATTACACTGAATAATTTAATCAAAAATATTTATTGCAATGTTGGATGGCTGTGTGAAACAACAATAAAAAGATGAAAATAGCCCACATTCACACACCTAATAGCATTACCAAAGATCCTTACCCGTGCATTCATCATTCGGCGGCACGCTAGCTGCTAGCTGCTCTCTGGCGGGTGATCCTACTGCGCCCTCCGCGGCCCTTGGGGACAACAGGTCCAGCACTGATGTTGCGAGGTCCCACTCAACCGAAAGACTACCTTTTCACAATATAGGAGTTGGAACTGGACAACGCTGGGATAAGCTAGCTATTCACCTTTTTAAACGAGCTCTT